AACTAACAGTACTTAATTTCTGGTGATGTAACCTAACTACTCTATTACCCCCCCCCCCCAACCCCTCCCCAATTCCCCTAAAAATGATCTTTTGATATGGGGTATTGAAAAGGATGCCCTCCTTTTATATGGGGCATTTTGTTGAATGATGAATGAAAAATTTGAAATTTGGGGTAACTTCACTTAATTTTGAATTTCGGTGAAAAATTGGGAGGGAAAAAAGGTGGGAAACAATTTTGCCAAATTTTGTTAAGCTGGCAGGAAAATTGGGTGGGAAATTCCCACTAAAAACCAAAAAGTGGAAGTGGTCCTCTAAAGTCAAATAAAGGGACCACATGTATTCCCTACATATTTCTCCTAGGGGTGAAAGTTCGGTTTTCGCTTTGGTTTTTTGCCAAACCGAAACCGAACCACTCTAATTCGGTTTCTGGATTTTAGAAACCACACCGCACCACTTTACTTTCAAAACCGAACCAAACCAAACCATTATTATTTCGGTTTTTATAAAAAAAACCCGAACCAAACTGAATTTTCATATCAAGCACCATAAACATCAAATTTTGCAAAAAAAAAAAAAAAACCAAATCACACCAATCAAAATCGAACCAAACAAAACCAATCCATACAAACATAATTAAACAAGTTTTCTAACATGATAAAGAAAAAATAGAATAAAAAGCACCTAAATATCAGAAAAAAATTGGACATAAATTAGAAGTTTAGCATAAATTAGTAGGAAAAAAAAAAACTCAAACCAAATTAAAAGAAAGAAAAAGAGAACATACCTCACATTCCATCGAAAAAACATCGAATTTGGCTTTTAAAGGTCAAATTCGACCATGAAAACTCTAGATCTAGAGTATTCATGGTCGAATTTGACATGAAAAACCTTTAGTTGATGGTGTTAAATCAAAACCTCGAATTTAGTTGATAGTTTTCGTAGATGGTGAAGGGGGCGAATTTGAAAGCAAATTCGTGATGTGTTCGTTAATGGTGGCGAGGAGAAAGACAAGAAAAAGGTTGATGGTGTTCGTAGATAGTGAAGGCGTGAAGCGAAGAAGAGGAGAGGAGAGAGAATGGACGGACGGAATCCTCAAGAGGAGAAGAGGAAAGGAGAGAGAGGCTGAGAGTGTTAGGGTTTTTTTTTTTTTTTTTTTTTTTTTTTGCATTATATACCTAGGGTAATTTTAGAGTTGGGCTAGGGTTTAATTGGATTGGGCCTATATTTCGGTGTGGTTCGGTTTTTCATTTTCGCAAACCGAAACCGAACTACACACCGAAATTTTTTTTTTTTTTTTAAAACCGAAACTGAACCACTTCCGAAAAAAACCGAACCAAATTTCTTATTCAATTCGGTTTTCGGTTTGGTTTGGTTTTAAACCGAGTTTGTTTCACCCCTAATTTCTCCCCTAATTACTTCACCTTAATTTTTCTAATCAACCCCTTAAAAGTTTTTCCTCGGCCTCCGCAATCACCACCAAAGTTGCAACAAATGTGGACCCTGTATATATATATATGTGTGTGTGTGTGTGTTTTACATGAAATTGTGAAAAAGGAAGCTTAGTAAAGGTCGTATTAGGCTAGGCCGGTCTTTTATTCTCAAATGAATGATTTCCTAGTACCCTTATTATATTCTTGAACTCATTTGTGGTTTAAAAAAGGCTAGGGCTGTCAAACGAGTCGTGTCATGTCGGGTTCGTGTTCGTGTCAATATTAAACAGGTTGATATACCCTTGACCCAAACCTAACCTATTTATTAAACATGTTGAAAACCCTTTACCCAAACCTAATCCACTTATTAAACGGGTTACCCGGGTTTTACCCACTTATTTCAAAACTATAAAACTTTAAAGTGAATAAGTAGTAAATTTATTTGTCCGCCCAAACCAAAAAATTTGCCCGCTAAAAGTTTTTACCAAAATATTTATACTGCCAAGTTATGTAGTTTAGAGGGTTAATAAGATTGGCATAAAAAAATTCAATTATTTTAACTATTTTAATAGACAAGTTAACCATGTCAAATTCAGTTTAACGGGTTGACGTTCAACCCATTAACATAATCGGGTTATGCGTGTCGGTTTCAGGTTCAAATTTTCAACCCAAACCTAACCCATTTAATTTCGTGTTGGGTACGTGTCGACCCAATTACTTAAACGAGTCGAAAACTCTTGACATAAACCCGCTTATTTTGTGTCGAATTATTGTGTCGTGTCAACTTTTGACAGCCGCAACGTAGCTCGGTGGTACCAAGGTGCTTGTGATTGTGCGCTTGGGCAGTGCACAAGGTCTGGGGTTCAATTCCCATGTATACTTGTTTAGCTTTTCAAAGATACCTATGACGCTCTCACGTTGAAAGTTGAGGAGAAGGAAACTATTCTTATATGATGGTTGATACATCAACTTATTAGAGGACTTTTGGGTAGAACTTCTTGTCCTGCACCAAAGCAAATCCTTATAGATTAGGGTCTAGAGAAGACAATATCTACTAGTGGGCTCACATTAATCTAGGGTGTTACAAATGTGGGCATTAGTAAACTTATGATTCATATTAAGTATCACATGAACTCTACTTGGGAGAAATGTATGAACGAGGTTTATGAGTTTTCCTCAAACTTATTGACGACTTTATTTAGTTTATGTAAAAAAATAGTGTTTGCTTAACTCCTCTAAAATTCAAGGTCTCCCAAATAGTCAAAAATTCAAATCCTACCGCATCTTAACAAGTGTAAAGTATTAGACTTTTAAAGGGCATAGGGTATAGAAGAAATGAGATCTTCAACGATGGGCTACCCATCTCACATAACCTTAAGGCCCAGGGCCGTCCTATATATTTTGGGGGCCCTGTGCTAATTTTAAAAATTAGGCCCCAACATTAATAATTTTTTTTTTAAAAAAAAAAATTAACAATAAGATAGAGTGAAATTCTCTCTATCTCTCTTTTTTTTTCTTTTTTTTTTCCTTGTAAGGTAAAGTACAATTTTCACTTGTGGGAAACTAAATAAGAAGGAAGCTAATATAAATGATTATACCCCTAAGAGATTCGAACCCTGCTTCTCTAGGTGGGTGATAATCAATGTTGTGATGTGCCGCTTTACCACTACGCTACAACAAACTTTATGGTACTTTGATGCAGCCAATATAATATATTGTAAGTTGGATTTTGGGACCCTTTTAATTTGGGGGCCCTGTGCGGTGGGGCTGGTTGCACAGTCTCATCACCGGCCTTGACCCAAAATGAAAATAGAGCACATAGATAAAACTAGAGAGTTTTTAAACCTTTACATTTAAAAAAAAAAAAAAACTGAAAAAATAAAATCAATGGAAATTGAACCATGCGCCGCCTTACCCTAACTAAGATCTCCATGTTTTTTTTTTAAAAAAAAGACCTCCATGTTCACCGCTGATCCACAACACTTATACTAGCTTTTGTTTTTTTAACAACAATTTCTAGGGATGTCTATAATTCGGATTAAAACCGAAATCCAATCCAATTCAAAAAGAATTATTAATTTGGATCGGATTCGAATTTTAAATCGGATCGGATTGAGATTTTTTGAAATTTTTGATTTTCGGGTTGGATCATATTGACTCTAATCGGATCCAAACCAAACCGAAAACCGAATTTTAGAATTAAGCATACATAATATGGAAGTTGCTACTATCTTAAGTCTTAAACTGGTGGAAGTTGCTGCTTGATATTAGTATTTAGTACATGGAGTAATGGTTGTAATGAACTAATGGTGTTCCTTTCGGTTATACTAGTTATTTTGACTTGATGTTAAACAATTTATGTTAATGATGACTATTTTCAAGATTTGTATAAATCTTAATGATTGGATAAAATGTTATTTTTATATTATCGTACTAGTTAATTAGACGCTATAAACTAGCATATTTTAATTCGGGTTATTGGATCGGATCCAAATAATCGGACTTTAATTCAGATTGGATTGGGTGAGTGATTCGGATTGAAAATGTGAAAACCAAATTATATTTCGGATTGGATTGGATTTAGCGTAAATCCAAATAAAAAACCGAACGGACACCCCTAACAATTTCTATTTATTATATGAATTTGAGGCCCCAATAAATATTGGGCCCTGTGCAGTTGTACAGGTTGCAACGACTAGGGTTAGGTCTATGAGCGACATGTGGCACTGTGGACCTTTTTTTTTTTTTTTTTTTTTTGAAAGATGGCACTGTGGACCTTAGTTAATGGAATCAATTAAGTGGTGGTAAGGACCAATTTCGATTTTTTATTTTATTTTTCTCTCCTGCTTACCCTACTTGCATATATATTTTATTATTTCTCATTCTAAATAATCCCATGTTTACTAATCCCTCTGTCCCATAATATTGAACACGTTTTCATATATGTAAAGACCATTATATCCTCATTTAAAAAAAAACACTTTATTCATTGTATATACTAATATACCCTTGAAATTTGCACACGCCTTGTATTAATTTTTTCCGATTCTCTCTCTAACCCTTGTCTATAATTGTACTTTTCACCTTTTTAATGTACTTCATCCACTTTGACCTCCCATTTCTTTAGTTAAATACCATGAAAAATATAAACAGAAACTATAAATTGGGACGAAGGAACTACTTTTTTTATTTAATTTTATTTTATTATAATTATCTCTTGTAATAACTATGCTTTTTATTATAAAATTCATCCTTTGATCCTCAATATCCTAATTTATAAAATTCCTAAAATTTTATGCAAGCCTATTATTGCAATTATTATGAAATAAAGGGAGTATTATATCAGTGTCTGCTCTACTACCGCTTAAATCTAAACTCAATCCATTACCAATTTACCACCCCTCAACGCTAAAGTTCTCTCACATCAACTCAAGTCCCACCCATGAGGCCAAGATCTCGGAAGTTATCGTGGATTATACATAATTTATACGGGCTAAACATTTTGCGGATAGAAATCCCAATTCTAATTCCCAAATCCCAAAAAGTTCAATAGAGGGAAAATTTCAATTTCCTCCCAATTTAAAAATAGAACCCAAAAAAAGTTGGCGGCAAATTACAAAATTCAGCCAAACATTTAAATTTCATTCCTAAATCCTAATCAAAATTTACCGCGCATTTCATCTTTTGCCCATAAAATCTTCTTCCACCACTTCAATCACCACTTTTCCGTCCCAATTTTTTTCCAATCAATTGAAAAAATGTCACAAATTCAACGTAGGAAGGTAGATTGGTCATCACTCCCTCAAGAATTACTCGAAAAAATTGCCAATTTCACCGGTTCTCGCTTCGAACGTCACCGTTTTCGAGCAGTTTGCAAGAAATGGCGATCTTCACACTCTTACCCAATCTTAACTTACTTTTTATACCCATCTCTCCAAAAAACAATCCCAATTCTCCCTTCTTCGATTTTTATCCGATCGAATCGGCCGATTAATCTTGTGGGTAGTGCCCTTTATCTCATTCAACCCCCTCAAGATTCAGACCCTGATTTCTCTTCTAAATCCTGGATTATATCAGTTGAAGAATTAAACCGACGTCGGTTTCGTATTCGTTTTCCTCTTTCCAAAAACCCCATTAAAGATCTCCCCAATGATTTCCCTAAAAAGCTCTGTACCTTTGATTTCAAAGTGTCCCACATCGGCGAAGGCCTTAAATTATGCTTCTCTAATGGCAATGAAGATGTCTACCAATTTGAGGGTTTTGCACCTTGTTCTAATTACCCAACAAAGAGTAAAGTCGTTTTGTTTCGAGACGAGGATTCGTCTACTGATGATCCTTGGTCTGTCATGGTTCTATTGCTTAGTCAGGGTGGTAGTTTGGGTACTTTGAAGTTGGATGGGCAGTGGAGTTTCATTGATCGTGGCCCGGGTTTTCGATTCGATGATGTTATAAGCTTACGAAGAAATGGACTACTTTGTGGCATTGATCGCGAAGGTACAGCTTATCTTATTGATGGGAGTGAATGTAGGGTCGTTGGAACAATGAGTGTACCTCTTTGTACAATACATGATCATTGTTATGCAAGAGTTAGCCGTAAATTCTTGGTGTTGATTTATAGTTTGGTGTTCATGATTGTCAGAAATGAGGAAAAGTTCGAGGTTTATTTGCTAAGAGAAGAAGAGCATGATTGGATTAAAATGGGTGATATGGGAGATTGGATTTTGTTTATGACATTCGATAATGTGTTTGCTGTTAAGGCTAAGGAAATTCCGGGTTGTCGAGGGAATTGTATTGTGTTCCCTAAGAATTTATTTGCTTTACATTCTCGAGAGTATTGTAAGGATTATAAACTTTTTGAGGGAGTTAGCAAGTATATGGAGGTTGGTGTGTACTACTTGAACGAGGATGGTTGTCGCCCTTTATCTAGTGAGCCGGGCTTATCTGAGTTGTTTTGGCCTCCCCCTTCGTGGCTTTCTCCTGAATCAGAATCACAAAATTGGTATAAAACTTTCTACCTTTTTTTGAGATTCATACTTTATGTTTGTGTATAATGGAACTAATGATTTGTGCCTTTGCTACGTGCCTAAAGAACCGAACTATATGATTTTGTTATGGGATTTTTTCATTTCTTGTTAGGTATGATCTTTGTATTACCTTGAACTAAAGGTTGAGCACGAGAGCTACTCGTATTAGTCGTATATACCAATTGCTTTAATTAGACTAAAGAGGCAAAAACTACTTGATGGTTAGAAAAATGTTTTGATTGTTACTAGTGCTTTTATAAAAGGAACTCTGATGAGGATGAAGATGAAGATATGGATTCCTACAGTGATATTGGTTCAATGTCTTGCTCAGAAGCAGCAGAACACCCTGCCTCTTTACAATGTATAGAGGAGGGCACGGCAGCTATTCAGGCTCGTTCTCAGTCTGTCTGCCAAGGAGACGAAGCTCAGCAAGGTAGTACTCCCAAGTCCTCTTTGCAGTGTATAGAAAAGGGCACCGGAGCTATTCAGGCTCGTTCTCAGTCTGCCTGCCAAGGAGATGAAGCTCAGCAAGGTAGTACTCCCTATTCCTCTTTGCAGTCATGCGGTGTTTAAGTGCTGCCTTTTCCATTTCCTTTCTGTCTAAGAATTTTATCTGAACTTGGCTTTACGCATATTACATAAAAGTTGGATTTTTAGCACTGATTATTCATATTTTGTTTCAGAGATTCCAGATGAGAACAGTAATGGTTCGGATCCAGTAAATAGTCGTCCAACTGAGGTAAATTTGATAGGTTTTTGTTCTTTCATCGACAGCAGTTGTCTTTAACCTTGCATAATAGTGCAACGATTTAGATGTCTCATATCTCTGTACCTTCGCTGTTTCTCAGACACCTGAGAATGTTGCATCAGAAGACATATTTCAAGGACTTGAAGTTAGCCCTGATCTAATTCCAGTGCTGCAAAAAATATGGGCGAAGTATGGAAATATAATCGAAGATCATGCAGTCTGCAGTATTGGTCTCTTGACATGGGCGTTAGAGTCCTTAGCAAAGATGGTAGTTATTCTCCAAGACAACATACGTGCATCCTTGAACGAATCTCAAGCCGACTACTTGAGATCTACCCTAGCCGACCTTCAGTCTATGAACTTTAAATTAGACTGGCTAGTTCCCTATGTTGAAAGAGCAATAGCCCTCCAGAACAACAATGAGCAGGTGGAAGCTATGCTCGAGCTTGAGACGACAACATCCAAGCTGCGTGCTGAACTACATGAACTAGAAGATAAATTAGCAGAACAGAAAAAGCTTATCAATGAGAGTGTGATGGCCTCGACACCTTTAATTCTAGAGAAGAGTTGTCCACTGTTTCTGATTTAAGGTTATAAGAATTGGTCCTAAGATGTATAGGGCTGCCAAAAAGTTGTAGTGAAGCTAATGTTTAGAATCCTTATTTTAGGATCTAGAAAATGTAAATTTCCACTTTACTTTGTAAAATGTTCTTTCCAGTTTAATCTTTTATCCTTGAATTAAAACCTTTAAAGCTTGGATCCAATCAAGTTTCTGGTTTTGTAAACATCAGTCAATAAATAAATTTATATTCTAGTCCTCCACTTTGGTAATTAATTTAGATCTTTAAAAAACAATGCCTATATATTGAAAAATTTTATATACGCTCAACTCAAGTGCAAGGTTTACTCAAGGTTATACTTGATTAAATGAGCAATAATTATCAAAAGTGAAAAATACCTTGGGTTTAATTTTCACTTGGATGATATAATGATCTTTACCGTACATTTAATCCATATTCAATAAAGTTAAAAAAAAAAAAAATAAAAAAAATACTACTCCATCCGGCTTTTGCAAGTGCATCAATTGTCTTACTCAACAAATTAAAAAAATGAATAAGCATATGTAAATAGAAGTGTAAGGTGTCAATTTGAATGTTCAGTCAGGTTCAATGAAGTCAGGTGTAATTTCAAACTTGAACCATGTTAAATTATTGCGTCCATACAAGTCAAAATTTGAATAGGATATTTTTCAGGTCGGAGTCGAATCTAGTTTTGACACCTCTAAATTTATTGTAAAAGCCCGAAAAGGTACTTTAGTGTTATGTTACAGATTTTTGCTAATTTCAGATACAAAAAGCATATTATTTCTTGCGTCCTAAAACAAGTCACAGTGTTGATTATTTCTGCACCACATGAATCATACTCAAAGTAGTTGGGTTACTCCTGTGAGGTGTGCATATGCAGGTAAGAACTATCACAGGATATAATAATATAAAACATCTTCAAGGTAGAAAAAAAATACTTGACCTGAAACTCAACTACAAATCAACCACACTAGAAGATAGAAACTAAAACCACACAAAAAAAATTAACCTACCCAATCCAAAAGCATTTGAACACATTAAAACATTAAAAATAGAAGAATGTTGTTTATCATATCAAAGAAATCCGAAAAATTAGTTATAAAAATTGCTTTATTGAGCTGATTTAACTACAGTTACAGCCAAACCATTCAGCCATTCATGTTAAAATTAAATTAAAAAATAAAACTCAAACAACAAAAATAAAAAAGCAAACTCCTATATACACCTAACTCAAGATTACACTATCCAGTACCAATGTAGGCTGCACGTCCAAGCACACCGACAGCTAGAGCAACACTGCAACCACACATTGTCAGGTTTTGCAACAATATAGGTTGAGCATACTTTAACACTAATTAAGAAAATTTACTCGAATTCTCCTTCATCAATGCCCTTGCTGTTTCTGCATGGATAGCAATTGAAAGTTATCATGAAACAGTCAGGTGCTCTCAGGTTAGAAAATGAAACAACCATGAACAGAGATCAAACTGACTTTCAAAGAAAACCAACACAAATGGAGTTCAGAGATATACATGACATGAACGGTCATGAGGCTAAGCAAGGGAAAATACAATCCCATCATAATTAAGAATTTCAAAAGCTGTCTAACTTGGGAATGTGCAATGTTTTGCAAATCAAAACAGCAAGATGAAATAAGGCAAGTGGCATACACAAAGTTTAAGCCGTGACCACCATTTATGAAGATAACAACCGCTTGATACCAGTCTTCTGCTCTGAAGTAAGCCTTGTTGGAAACTTGATGTTAAATTTTATTCTCAAGTTACCTCTTTTAGAAGGTTCCTTAGGGATAGGCATTCCCTCTCCTTTAACCACCTCTTCATATGAAGGGCTAATAACAGAGTTGATGGGTACTGTTAAAGTACGTCCATCAAGTGTTGTTATTTGTGCATTAAAGCCAGTCAGGGCTTCAACTAGGGAGATTTTTTGAGTAATAACAAGATCATTACCATCCCTCTTATAAACGCTGTGAGGCTTCTCATCAATGATGAAAATTAGATCTGAAGGTATAACGTTCCGCTGCTCGTTTCCTTTTTCTGGAAAAGTGATCTTTGTACCCTTCTTCCATCCCGGTTTGATCTCAATGGTGAGGATCTCCTCCAGTGTGGACGGCCTCCTACAAGAGGAAGAACACAGTTATTTGACACAAATATCAAAGACACCAGATTTTCCCACGCTCCCTTCCAACTGTATTTCTCTTTTATTATTATCTGGAAGAAGGGGAGAGGAAGAGGGGGAAGGGAGGGAGAAGGGGAGGGGGAGTACACGTACAAAGTCTCACTAACCATAAAACTGGGACAATAAAGTAATCCATATTGAAAGCTGTGCAAACCAGATACAAATACAACTTCAGTAACAATTAACCACAATAAAAAATCATGAAGATCAGATGAACATCAAGAAGCAACCCAAGCAGTTGAGATGCTTTGTTGATAGCAACCTCAGTCTCAGACTATCTAGGGTTCACTAATGGTAATAACTGCCCCCCCTCTGAGTGCTGTGCCTTGGAGAGATAAACAATGTCTTACAATCAAGGTCTTACCCCAAAAAAAAAAAAAAAAACAGAAGCAAAGTATAAGCAGCAGTCCAAATTCAAAGTACATGTAAAACAAGAGAAGGTATTAAGAGCACAAAAGGTCAACAGGCCAATCATCTTCCAATCACATATTTATCTCATACGTAGCATTTTTTAGTATTCCAAGCATGCAAAATTAAATAAATAAAAAAAAAAAAAAAAAAAAAAAAAAAACCTTTTCTGCAGCAATTTATATACAAAAATTTATGATTAGTATTCAACAACAGGTTATCGTTTCCTCCTCATATCATAAATTCATAATAGCAGTATTTTTGGTTTACATTTACGCTTTGTTTGGATAGCAAAGAAGGAAGGAAAGGAAGGGGAAGGGAAAGGGGGAAGGGAAAAGGAGGAAGGGAAGGGAAAAGAAAGGGAGGGGGAGGTGAGCTCCATTTTCCCTCCAAATCTCTCCAATATTGGAGGGATTATGCTTATTAAAGAGAGAGGGAAAATGAATCCCTCCCTCCCCTTTCCCTTCCTTCCCTTAATCCTTTACCCAATCAAGAAAATTTGTCCCCCTCCCTTTCTCTTCTCTTCTTTTCCTTCCATTTCTTTCTATCCAAATAAATTGTTAACCTTCCATAAGGAACACATAATACCACTGCAACCGCTGAGGGGGGGGGGGGGGGGGGGGGGGGGGGGGGGGGAGATGGGATGCTAAAAAAGGGAAAATCATTTAAAAAACAGCACTACATATTTTGGATGTTTCTAGTACTATTAAATATCAAAATCCGACTCAACACCTTATGCCGTTTTACCTTTGATGCAACATATATTGCCAAATCAATTTCTACAACACCATCCATTGTCTTTATATAATGCTAACATAATTTCATTGTCATAGCTAGAAAAAACCAATATCTGCAATAATGTGTTGTAGAAAACACCAAAGTTTTAAACCATAAATGAAACTTCCACTTTACCTAATTCTAAGGCCTCGTTTGGTTGCCCTTAATTACTATTGGCACTCAAAATTCCCATGAATTTCCTTTTGGTCATCTTGTTTGGTTGAAATTAAAAAAGAAAATGGAGGAAATCACAAATTCACAATTTATGGGAATTACAATTTCCCACAAAACATGAGAATTTATAAACCCACCCACTTGGTCAATCCCAATCCCTAAGATTTACAAATTCCCACATGACAACCAAATACATTTGTGTAATTCCTAGGAATTTTATAAGGAAAGTAGTTTTTCATGCATTAGAATTTCCCATAGGAATTTATTTCCTACTTTAACCAAATGAGGCCCTTCCTCAGTAATATTTCTATTTAACCAAATGTCTCTGAAGCACTGACAAGACATCAAGCAAAATATCAATTCAACGATACTCACAAGAATTAGACTTCTCATAGGTAAGTAGGTAACACAAACTTTACCTATATCTAGTTATAGCTTTACTTTATTTTTTTTGCACAAAAATTAACCAAGGTAATGGCTGAGGCCTTATCTTGACATAAGCTTTGCAAAACACCCCATATTTATTGCAAGATGTATATCCAAAACTTTTGTAATACATAACTGCCATCCTAAAATTCAAAACCTAAAGCCGACTTTGTAATAACCAGTTAACCTCTTCTATCACTGATAACCTAATAAATGAGGTCTCAAATGCTCTTCTATCGCACAGAATCCTAATAACCTCTTCAGACCTGATTGCAACAAGCACCTAAACTTTCGTAATACATACTTCGAATGTATTAGTATCCATATGCTAACATCTTTTCTTGGAATTCCCACATATATTTTGGTTTCAAAAACATTTAAGATGATATAAAAAGACTAATGACTAAATGAGCAACCATCACTACATAAATACAGGTCAAAAGGACTTCTGCAATCAATAGTTATTGCATCTATAGCGACTATAAGTTCTCAAGATTGAAGAGTAGGAGAGTTTATCTTGATTCTTGAGTAAACTTTAAACACATGTAAAACCATCAAGAAAGGTATAATTTCATAGCTTAAAAACCCAGCAGTAAAAATAAGAACTTCAACCTAATAATAAGACATGACATCAATAGCAGAAGGATAACATTGATAACAAACACATTAGCATGGAGCCATAAATAGAAAGAACGTCCCCAATTGAAATCAAAAGCCATATGGATCACCTATGCTCAAATCAGAATTAAAGAACATGTAGCTTTACAAAGATGAAAACTTTAATTGAAGTTTTGTTCAAAGTTGCAATTTTTATGGTAATAAAGTTAAGTAATGTTACCAAAAACCATATTTAGAGATATAAAGAACATTACATATAAGCTATGTATGCCAGTTTTGACCAAGTTCACCTCTTGCTTTTGTAGCTATGAAATCACAATTTTGTCGGGATAATTCTTAAGCAAAATTCTCTAGCACTTCTCAAGTCCTTACATCTAATTACATCAAGGTGCCTTTGTGTAGAGGTATAAGAGAGACATAAAAGATTACTAATTTGACAATGTAATGCTTTTGTTAATTTCACCCTTCTGTTAGCTGTGTAGAAGTATAAGTATATGGCAGAAAGATATCCTTTAGTAAACTAATTCCTATCAAACAGGCTTTTGACTCTCAAATCTTTCTTCTCATCCCTTCAGAAATTCAGATTCTTGTACTAGTGATTGTACCAGTTCAAGGATGCTACGCATTGGCTAAATTACCAACTTACCACAAAACAACTTACAGATATATAAGTTTTCCGATAAACTCCATCAGTTGGTACTTGGTAGCTCGAAATTTATCCAAATTCAGTGCACTTATATAATCTAGTTGGAAAATTTCAAAATCACATTATACAATGTCTTGACATGCAACATGCGAATGGAACACCCACCTATCCTAGAACCTCAGCACAAAAACATTTACAATCACAATCCAATTGCACAGTGACAATACTAGTTATCAATAGTGTAACACTGAATCAAAGATCACAAAATCAAACACAGACTAAAAAGTACTCTCAACACTAAAATCTACACAAAATCAAACACAGACTAAAAAGTTAGCAAGCAAGCAAGCAATTACCCTGAATAATCGACAACATCCCTCGAAATCTTCATCTTCTTAGTAGTCCCCTTGTACAAATCCTCCAAGCTACATTGCAATGTGCGCTCAATAGCTGCCGCCTTTCGGGGCATAGAAGGCATACCCGAGGGCTCGCCACCGCCACCAGCACCACGACTAAACTGCGAAAAAATATCCTCAAAACCTCCTCTCCCAAATGCAGATGAACCCCCAACACCACCACGAGATCCCCCCATATCTCCCACACCAAACGGGCTCGAAAACCCGAAAAATTCGGAGAAAATATCATCAGGACTTCGAGTATTAAATCGAAACGAACTATACCCACTTCCTCCATCTGAACCACCAGGAAACCCACTAGATCCTGGAGGTGGCACATTCCCTTTCAACCCCTCTTCACCATATTGATCATACACAGCTCGCTTCTGGGGGTCGCTCAAAACCTAATTCCAATTCAATCAAACAAACAAACAAATAAAATCAAAATTCAAGATTTACCCTATAAAATTAACAATGGGAATTGATAAAAAAATTGAGAGAATTACATCATAAGCTTCGGAGATTTGTTTGAATTTGGCTTCAGCATCTTTCTTATTATTAGGGTTTTTGTCTGGGTGCCATTTCATAGCCAATTTACGATAAGCTTTCTTGAGATCATCGTCTTTAGCGCTTCTATCAACTTGAAGAACTTTGTAGTAATCCACACCCATGTCTGCTACTACTTTTCTCAATCAAATCAGGAATTTTTTCTGGAATTTTTCTCAGAAAAATTATGTCTTTGTTTTTTATTTGGGTGAAATTTTTTGGGAATTGAGAAGGTTGAAGAAGGGTGAATGATCAAAGAAGAGTGGGAGAAAACGATGATTTGGGCCGGTGGATTAAATTGCCCTTTTTATTTTTTTTGTTGGACTCATGTTAGTTTAATTGCTCACGTGAGTTTGGAATCTTGTGAAATTATGACATGATTAAGTAGAATTCTAATTCTACAAAATCGCAACACTTTAATCGTTACATAATTAAGCTGTTTAATCAACTTTAAGTTGGTGTTGTTTGTTTGATATTGGGAAGGAATTTTTATTTGAAGTAAATAACTACATTAAATTTTTAAGAATTACTTAAACTTGTTTGGTTGAGATGATAACTTATCTAGGAGTTGGATAATTAAATTATCATATTTTATGGGAAGTCATAATTCTCATGAATTTGCAATCTCTATATTTACATTTTTTTATTGTCAACCAAACAACTCGACTATTTTTAAATTCTCTCCTTTTTTTTCCCTCATTTTCTTGTGCAATCAAATCAACCATTAGTATTTTTAAAGTTGATTTTTTAATCAGGGTACCCTTGAGAATTAACAAGTTATTTTATTTATCAACAAAGTTTGTTAATTTAATGGTCGAATTGTAAATAAAAGGCTTATCAAAAAAAGAATTGTAAATAAAAGAATATCGGTTAATGAGTCACCACCACCTGCTCCAACTTCCCCGATGAAACCAAGCTTCTCTATGATACTAGTGATTACGAGGAAGAAAGTCATGTGTTGCTGATTTTGAGACAATGGGAAATATGTGACGGTGCATGGTAGATTTGGCAAAATACTACTTCTATTTCTTTTTAATTGCAAAGAAGTATTATTTGTGGGACATAAATTATCCCTTTGTTGCAACTAAAAAGAAACGAAGGTAACAGTAAAAAGGTGTAGAAATGGTTAATTGATTCTAAGATCCATAGGTCAAATTGAGTTTATAATTTTATGTTTAAAGATAGCTCAAAAGTCTCTAACAATAGTGGAGGCAGGACAATAGAGAAAAGAGAGAGAGCTAACTGAATGCAAAAGGTTGATGTATGCTTGTGCAGTTGTGCAAGCAACCAATATCTATATATTTGCGTATAAAATACTCCCTCCGTCCCTTATTATTATTATTTTTTTCCATAGCAAATATATGGGTCAAACTTTTATAACTTTGACCATGAATTCTCATTAATCTATTAGGGATAATATATTTATGTTAGATTTTGTTAGAATCTTCTCATAGTATATTTAATATCATGTTTTTATAATTTTTACACGTATAAAAATGGAGATATATTCGTTTGAAAACGTGTGTTGCCGTGTTGGAGGCCGTGAAATGTGAATGAGGCAAAAAACATAAGGGACAAAGGGAGTATGTGTTAAGACATTGAATCGGTTTCCTTTTTATATATCAGCTGGTATGTTGGATACAAATACATGATATTAATTCAACTCCTATTAATGGATGTCATTTAGCTTAATAAAATTCTCTAGTGCTACCCAAAACCAAATTTGATCTACAACTTAACATTTGTGGGTCTCTATTATATATTATTATATATCTGTTTTGTTATAAACCTTTTCACAATGGAGCGCATATAATCCTCTGCTGACCAGACAACATTCAGGTGCAATATATGCGCAGTCCTTGCAAAGCCGCTCCATTTGATACACTTCCAAATGTTTTGGTTCTCATGTTCATCAATTTTCTAAGCAGCTTCATGCGAATCATATGCACTTCAACGTTGACATAAGACAGTAGGTAGACAAGCTTAAACTTGATACTTGCATAAGACAGTAGCTTTAATTGTAATCTAACTTAATTACATGAACTTCAACCAGTTACTCTAGCTTCCACTGGATGATTCTTTACTTTTCTCTGGGACGACATCCTTGTCAGAGCTGCCTGCATCCTCAGCCTCAGGTTGGGCTGACTGCGACTGACTTCCAGCTTGAGAATCAGAGGCGATGCCAAGTACAGTAAGTACAGACCTGAGAGCAGATGCAATCATAATCATCAGTCCATGATTTTATGACAAAAGGTAAATGTGCCACAAAACAGAGATCATTTTCGACATACCTTGGGAGAGAAGATTTAATGTTCTGCTGGTTTGCATGAGCAGCCAGAGGTGCTTTGAGTGCAGGAATTTTATTTAGAGCAGCTTCAAGCTGAGCTTGTGGCAACTGGAAAAAAACAGTATAAACATTTAAAACAAAACTCCAAAGGCACCACAAATATTCAGAATTCATGTGTTGTAAACATTTGTCTAACAGAAATTATGTCGAGCCAATGTGATTTTACCATCCAAAGAAAGTACAACTTAATTTCACTATTAAACAGTGTCATGCACAAACCGTCTGGTCCTGAAGGAGTTTGCAAGCAGACAGCATGATTCTAATGAAATGATCTCTTTACAAACAACCATGCGCTTAATGGCAACAAGCAAAAGTAATTTAAGAGTTGCTCTCTATAGATCCCAGATGTGCTCAATTAAAAATGCTAAAACCTAGTAGGATTGTTCTTCTGAATAATTTACAAGGAAGAAGTCAACCAGAGCTGAAAAGCTTCAATCTCTTTTCAAAAGAAGATTAGACAACTTAGAGTGGAAGAGCCAAGAATTCTAAAAACCTTTATTGTAAATAATAATAATAATATAATTTTTTTACCCTCCCAGTTTATTGGATAGCAGCAGGTAGATGGACTCAGATGTACTATAAAACTTAGGATCCCAGTATTTGAAGAGAAATGGAATTGTTAAATCTGCAGCTTTAGTTTTCAGTTTTCATTCATCTCTGAAAACAGTAAATTCATATTGAATTGAAATATCATTGTTTCTGTTTTAATAAAATATACTTGATCCCCTGGTAAGATGCCTCAGAAAAGATGGCTCATTAAAAAACACAGAGACATATATCAGAACATTGGACGTACCTGAAGCAACACGGTAAAAGAATGAGGCTGTGTCAATTGTGCACATTTGAGAAATCCAACCCATAACTTTGGGTATTTCCATATCTGTTAAACAATGTGTCAATCATAAGATTCAAGTAAACATGAAGGTACTCAGAGATAAATAGCAAGGCAACCTATAGCTGAAAATGTTACCTGCTTGCTTACAAGTCGAGAAAGGATATCCATTATGAAGTCCACCTATAGTGTGAAAAAATAATAAAAATTAGAGTAATCTTTTTCAAAGTGAAATGCAAATGAATACTAAAACTAGGAAACCATTGTAATACACTAATTTTAATACTAATAACCAACAAGCTCACTCTAAGCTGGTTGAAATTTAAGGCAAAAAAACGTTTTTAGATGTAGCCTCAATTTATGAGTAAATGTAAAATCCTGCCTCACAGTTAAAATGTGTGGTGTAACAAATCTAACAAAATATGGTGGCAAGATTTTCCTAAATGCATGAACATATCATAAGGGTGGAAGATTAACTAGCTTAGTTGGTTAAAGCCATGAGGGGTGGTACTCTAAATCTAGGATCAAATCCCGTCTACATCAATTACCCTAGCAGCTCATTCTACACCAAAAAAGAAAAAAAAGAAAAAAGTAAAAAAAAAAAAGAACAGATCACGAGGAAAACATATACCTGTAACTGAATGTATCCAACAAAGGCTGTTATGGTTAAGTTTTAGTTGATACTTTGTACACAGTAGCATGCACCATAAATAATAACACAGTATTCAAGTACTAAATCAAAGCAACAAATGATCTCGCAATTTTCACGCAGCCAAAATACTTGAAATATGAAAGAGACAGTTAAAGGTAAAAAATGAAAGTGGCAGTTACAGGTAAATGGTATCTCCCAATGAAAGTGGCAGCTAGGCAAGATCAAACTTAAGGTATGCTAATACATATAGTCAAACAAATATTCAGCCACTTGAAAATGAAGAAAGACAGCAAGCAAATATTTGAAAAATAGCATACCTTGGTCATCACTTTGTGGGAGCAAATCACTAGTACTCCTTCTGTCCCACATTACTTTTATTGTTTTGAGTTTTTTCATGTGAAATTAAGGAATTTGGGACATGATGTGATTACAGTGTAAAGGTTGTCCTTTTTTTGTTTTTATAATTTTTCTATGACAAAAAGGAGATATATCATTTAAGTCATTTTGGAACTTAGTGAGATATGGTTCCCCATAAACTTTTTATTCATAGTGGGTACATTTTAGGGCAAATTTGAGTTTACTTGTGTCTTTAACATTTTCCAACGAAGGCCTAATGAAGATAATTACAGTATAAAAGGAAATGGGAAGCACATTTTGCCAATTTGGGACACCAAAAATGGAAATGGAAAAAGTAAAGAGGGACGGAGGGAGTATTAATCTTGCCTAAAGCCGGTTTCAACACAAAAGCACTCATGGAAGAGACCTTAACTTTCCAAGAACTTTATAATAAGATAAAAGAAGCAGAAATAAATTTAAAAGAACAATACGGCATCTCACAAGGGATTAAGGAATAATCAGAGAATTGATTCAATGGAACATAGACAGGACTTAGAGTTCGCTAAGACTTACAATCAACAAATGAAATAGCCAAATTAGACGCACAAGAAGTGTACTTAAAAGATATTTTTTTAAAATAATACTATTATTATTCTTTTTCTCCAGTCCCTGACATTTATTGCACAAGTTTGGGGTAGTTTCACATATTATGAACAGTAAGTGGCTTGAGCAACAGATTTTAAGCACATCAAGACAGCTAGCCAAGCAGCAGAGTTTATATAGCTTTGTTTCAGACTAAAGAAGCAAATCTTTGCTTGCTCATTTCAACAGAAAATAAGTTAGAGAAATACATAATAGAACATAGCTTTAAAGGCTAGAGGGTCAAAGAAGGAGCAAAGTATATTAATATCATAGCATGCAGAAAAAAATAATATCCCTCTTACCAAAGCTGGAAAAGCACCGATTGCTTGTAGTACTGTTCTCATGAACAACAATGGAAGAGGAATCTGTTCAACCTACAAGAAGAATAGGGGAAAACAAAACCAAGGGCTTCAGGATTAACATAAGGGAAAAAAATAAAGAGAAAACATAAGAATGTTCAGAACATACCAGCTGATTCAGAACCTTGGCAATTACTTGCTGTGTGAACATTTGTCTTTGCTCAAAGCAAGCATTACATGCATCAGTCACCTGTTCATGGAAAGGAAATACAAGCAAGATCATATTAAGATGGGAATCTAGACACAAGCAGATGTAAAAATTAAAAGATGGTGGCAAGAAAAATGCCTTCTTCAAAGGAATTCCATCTTTATCAGGATCTATGCTGTGGATGGCAATTAACACTTCTGATGGAGTTAGCACAGGATTAGGAGTCGAACCCTGCAAAACAATTCGTTCAAGTGGTTATATAATACTCTATAGAATTTCTTCAAAAAAAAAAAAAAAACAAAAAAAAACCCTCCATAGAATGGTTTAAGCAGTTGCTGAATCTAATGGTTTAAGTAGTTGCCGAATCTATGAGTACTATTAAGCTAGGATGGTTTTCCCACTCAAAATCAAAAGTCAATGGATTCCATGAAACAAAGAACTCTCAATGCGAATAGTTTCTCGTTAACACTTTGGATACTACCAAGAATAGCAAATCATGACTCGTATCCTCCAGGCTCTAATAGGATGAAAAAAACAGCATATAGGTAGTTCAATTTGACAGTTTAGGCAAAGAGTAAGATAAAAGTCTTCTCTCTACTTTTGTCATCTTCCTCGTCATCTTTACTTGAGATAATACACTAAGACTTAAAAAAAAAATTAGCAACACAAAATTTCTACTGCTTTCAGATCGACATCCTAGAAGTAGTAGTAGAAGAATACTATTCCAAACAGGCAATAACAATTAGCAAGAATATACCTGCAGCAAGCGTGCCAGAGCAGCCTGGAACTTGTCTTGGGGGAGATTAACAGCATGAGGGAAGACCCTCAACACCTGACAATACAAAGTCAATAACGATTACTCCAAATATTGCCTACTCCAAAAACCTAGAAATACAGCTATAAAATGATGATGTGCAGGCATTGAAACTGTAGTCGAAGTTACAAGATGAATAGTGAACAAAATCTAAACGTCTCATCTATTGTGAAACAGAGGTAGTATTTGCACAGCAACAATAACATTAGTCGGGGGTCCTAACATGAAAAAAGTGGTGAATTATCGAAGTAAAGGTGATTACAAAGAGACTAGGAGAGACCGTTACAGCACTATTATTGGGACCCTCTCTTCCTCCAAATCTCCAATGTGGTAAATTATATATACCTTTTTTCTATTTGGGTAAGTAAAATATATAAACCTATATTTATATATCAACATTAAAAAAAAAAAAATTAAAAAAAAAACAGATGTAGCTTCAATCAGCACAAAGGTAACCTAGAATTCTGGAAGTTGGTGAACATAAGTAAAGAGGTTGATGATATGCTACATACTATAACCATCCCTAACAACGCTTAAAGTTGAGGGAAATTTTACTTCCTCCGTTTCTATATAGTTGACGCGTTCAATTTAGGCACACATATTAAGGAGAGGAGAGAGAAGATAAGAGAATGATAAAGCAAGTGTGGTACACTAGTGAATGCAAGGTATAAAACTTACTCTAAAAGGAAACGTGTCAACTAAAAATAAACTTCCTAAAAAGGAACACGTGTCTGACTTTTAAAATAAAAAAACGGAGGTAAATACTATACAGTATCCAACAAGTAACTACAGAAAAACTATCTAAGAAAATAATTTCTATAAATAGTAGCATTTTCTCTGCAAGCTGCAGGTGATAAATCAAATGTCTACACAGTATCATTTACAAACAAGCATGAAAGAGAATAACATAGAGAGTATATATGTAAAAAGAACCTCCTCTTTTGGTAGAAAGGGCAATATTGGAAACAGAATCTCTATATCCTGTGCCATGCAAAAGTAAAGATGCATTAGTATATTACCAATTCTACATGGAAGTTATGAGAAGCAGAGATAAGAAATAAAAATATACTATACCTTTAACTTTGTCTCATAAAGTTTTTTAATAGTAAATATCAATTCTGCAGATGGAACCCTGCCATCTGTAAGAGTATGCAAAACCTATAGCATGGAAAATTATGTGTCTCAGAATTTGGGCATTTTAGTTCCACATGCCTCATAAAAGGATAAAATGCAAGGAAATATCAGTCTCTAAGGTAATATAAATCTGAACAAACCTGCATCAGAAGATTCTCACTTCCATCAGGTGGATCAGAGATAATCTCAAGAAGAGGTGGTGATGCACCCATAGTCCGAATAAGAATAGGCATCTGGCTATGAATTGCCTGTACAAAACCAAACAGTTTAAGAATGAGCAAATTAAAAAGTACATAAATAACCCAGTCAAATAGCATTTTACATGCAAATCCAAATACACCTGTTTCGCTGACTCTGGTGAGCTTTTATATATGATAAATATTTGACGAAGAAGAGTATGTTTCTGCAAGCAAAGTCGGCCGCAAAAAACAAAATATTCAATTAGACGACAGATAACAAAGTCATACACAACCAACTAAGAAAATGTGTCACCTTTGTACATAGGGCAAAATACAGTGACATGCATTGTTGTGCTTCAGATACGGAAGTACTGGCAACAATTCCAGGTGTGCAAGGCGGGGAATTATGGGCAGATGATTCTATGGCCATTGTTTCCCCTGTAGATTGGTCTTTCGCAGCCAAAGTTATTTCAAGACTCTGATCAAGTTAAAAACAAGGGGGTAAGGGGACATCAAAAGAAGGTTGAAATTTACACGAAGTGGAATGCAACAATAGAGAATTGACAGGATGGATTGAATTTAGACATCCAATGAGTGAAAAATCCTTCTCATGAGAATCGTCCCTTAAACATATATCTGTAATTTCAAAAATATTCCTCCCACTGATCAAACAAGTTATTATAACAATTCTCCTCCACATATGAGTTTGCATATCAACAATAAAACAACCGCTCAAATCCTTCAAGTAGAGTAGTAGACACATATTAGTATATGAGGTGGAAGGGGGGGGGGATTCAAAAAGAATAAAATCCAGCAGGTAATCTAATGAAATTCAGTCTCCTCTTATTATTATGTACAGAACAAGTTCTGAAAAGCAATTTACACCTTTTGTGATTGAATACTTGATTTTTCAGCATCTGCACTATGAGTATTTTCTACAGTAAGCAGCTTCTCCTTAGCAAATTCTTCTATTTGCAGGGAAATTGACGGTAATGGATACAATTTATTTGCAACCTGCAAAAAAGGAAATAAGATAAAAGGCACACAAGTGATATGTGCACTTAAATAGTACATATAGAAAGCTTTATTTGTTAGCATAGTCGACATACCAAACGTATTGCCTTCATACGAACTTCCTCCATATGATGCACTGCACTCTTTGGAAGGAGAAAAGCTTATCAGAAGACTTGATATCGATACAGAATGAATGCGTATACAGATTCATCATTTTAAATCATGTCCGACCCCTATATTAGATCCCAGTTCCTATAGTAAGAAGCCTTTTATTACATAAATTTCAATATCACTAAGGCACTAGCTTATATAAAAGAAGTTTCGTAGTAAATTGGTAAAGCTGTTATTGCATTGCTAAACCCATGTTCTTACTTAATCCTACGTTCTAACATTTCACATACCTTAACGCAATAGTCTTTCATAATTTAATAAGAAATGTCAAACAAGCAACTTCCAAAAGGTGGTTTTATTCATTGTGAGATTTGTGATCACTATTCTCAATTAAAAGTTACTTTTTTTTGTGACACAAATTAAAAGTTACAGCTTACAACTTCTCTACACAAATTTGCATATTTTTTTCAATTTATCGCACATTTACAATATATTTATTTCCTTTCTTGACGGTTTTCATTGAATAGCAATAAAAAAAAATATATATAACTTTAATCAGTTACAAAGTGGAGAATAAGAAAATACTTCTTAGAAAAATCTTCAAAATTCATAATTCTGAAACAATAAAAAATATTCACTAACAATCCTACAAGAATTATGGTGGTAGCTAGAATAATTTCTAAAGGGCTGAGAATCATACTATCCCAGATTTTTACTTCTTAAAGTCACAACACATTTCCATAAGATCATTCTGCGCACACTTTAGTTTAACTTGTTTCCATGGACACTTATTTTTAGTTAGACAGCTTATCCCAGAAACAATTAATAATTACCACTTGCTATAATACTCTCTCCAAAAATATAAGAATTATATTGTAATATATAATTGATATTATTTTAAATGATAAATTCTCCACTTTATTGTTCATTTTAGACTGTGATAGTTTCATTATTCATTCTCTATATAATTCCCATTGTAATTCATTATATGGTGGCCACCTTATATTTCTTCTTTTGTTAAATCAAATTTGTAATGAAAAGACATACTAGGAGCATTGAACAAATTTAGTATTTCCTTATAAAAAGGGGGATGCAATGGAAGCAATGTAATCATCTTTTTTTTATTTCCCTTCTAGTTGGTGCTGGAATTATACAAGAAAGACAGCATATAATCCAAACACTTCAAAGCTCCTCACTGATTTCATGCATGATGGCATTGTGATTTTTATTTTTTATACCTTGTCTTTCATGATGTCTCTCAATCTTTCCTCCTTCAGTAGTTTCAAATCCTTTTTATTTTTTGGAAATTTTGTCTAAAACCACCCGTCAAATTCTTGTTTTTGTCAAAAACCACCCCAAAAAAAATATGTTGCCTAAGACCACCCAAATTTGTCAAAAAAAACCTTTTAAAAGCACCCTTTTGTCAAAAAAAACCTTTTAAAAGCTCTTTAGTTAAAAAAACCACAACCTCAATTTTTTTGCAAGGAGAAACCTGTTTCACTAATTGTCCTCTAATTCACTTAATTAGTCTCTTATTTTGTTTTCTTTCTTTTAATCACTCTCTAACCCACCTATTTATGAGTAATAATTAAATTAAATTAAAAAAAAAACTACCACCTCCCAACCACTAGCCAACCACCACCTCCCAACCACTAGCCAACCATCCCCACCCCCATTGGACCCGCTGCCCAGATCCCCCACCACCGGCGATCTACCTCCACCACCGGCCGACAATCCCTTTCTTCCTTATCCCCGGCGGCGACCACCACAAGTAAGCAATTTTCAATTTTTGGCCCTAAATTGCTCAAATCAAGTCCAAATCAATTGAAATTTGCTTCCAAATTATCCTACCATCATATACATATATAATCAAAGCCAAAATAAACATCAATTGCAAGCAAGATGCACAAATTTAGAAACCCCCAAATCGATTTTTCTAGGGTTTATGGACAAATTTAAAAATTGCAAAGTTCAAGCACATTATAAGATAAAATCGAAGCAAAAATGCATTGATTGTGTGCGAAAACTTGATTTGAAGCTTCCAAAAAGATCCTAGCAAATTTGGGTTGTGTGTTTGAGAGTGTTTGAGGGAGAAATGAAAGGTAGATGTTCGAAGGGAGGGGCCGGGGAGGTGGAGGGTTGCAGCAAGCCGGTGGTAAGGGGGGTCGACCGAAGGTTGAGGTGGGTAGCCGGGGATGAGAGGTTGTAGGAGGCGTGGGGGAGGAGGGCTGCTGCAGTGGGAGGAGGAAAGGAAAGGGCTGCTGCAAAGGGGAGGTGGAAAGGGAGGAGGGTGGTGGTTTTTGTTCTTTTTTTATTTTTTTATAAATTAATTTAGTTATAAAATTGTTAAGTGAGTACTAAAAGGATAATTAGAATAAATCAGAAATTAATTACGTGTATTAGAGGCACTTGGTTGTCATCAACAAAAAAAATTCACATTCGGGTTTTCTTTTGCCAAAATGTTAAAATTCGGGTTTCCTTTAGCTAAAAAGCTTTTAAAAGGTTTTTTTTCGCAAAATGGTGTATCTAAAAGGTTTTTTTTTGACAAATTTGCCCCTAATAAATTTTGTTGTCTAAGACTACCTAGATCAACTTTCTGGCATTGACTTCAAAATCCGGCATTGACCAGGGCACGTGACAAGCACGTGACACCCTCCACCTTTCTTTTTTTTTTTCCTTGAATTTTCTGGGCATTTTTGCATTGAATTTCTCACTCCTCTCTCTTCTCTTTCCTCTTCTTCTCTTTCTCTGGTCCTCCTTCCTCTTTCTCATCTAGCTTCTCCTTGTCCCTCCTCTTTTCTCTCTGTCCACCACCAACATCAACAACCATAAACAACAACGGCGCAACACTTACAACATCAACCAACCACCACCAACATCAACCGCAACAACAACAATTGCCGCAACACCAACAACAAAGCCAACAACCAACATCGTCAACCGCAACTACAACAATGGCGCAACACCAACAAGGCAACCACCGTCGCGAGGCAATAACTTACTATCTCTTGTAGATCTTGTTTTAATTTAGGTTAGATTGTAGATCTAGTTAATTTTTTATGTAATTGTGATCTTAATTTATAAATATTATTAGATAATTGTATATTTATATATTTTCTTTAATTTTTGTTGGTTAATTATCGTTTTTTTTTTTATCTAATGGTTTTGATTTTTTTTTGTGGTATTTTTCGATTTTATTGTGTTAATTTTCTTATTTATGGGCTTATTTTCGTTTCTTGGGTTAATTTTCGATTGTTTGGGGTTGATTTTCGTTTTAATGGGTTAATTTTGGTTTTTCGCAATAATTTTTAGATGGTGGTGGTGGTGGTGGTGTTGGTGGTGGAGTGTGGTTGTGTGTCACGGTGGGGAAGAGGCTGGTGGGAATGGTGGTGGGTAGGTTGATGGTTGGGTGAGGTAGTGGTTTGAAGTGGAGCTGGTAGTGTGGGGTGGGGGCTGGTGGAATGGTGGTGGTGTGTGGTGTCGGTGGTGGTGTGCAGTTGTGTGTGACGGTGGGGAATGGGCTGGTGGGAGTGGTGGTGGGTAGGTTGGTGGTTGGGGTCTTTGTGTTGGTTGGGTGAGCCGGTGGTTCTGAGGTGGGGCTGGTGGTGGTGGTGGTGGTGGTGGTCAATAATAGACAGAAAATTCAAGGGAAAAAAAAAAGAAAAAGGGACTGGGGTCACGTGGTTGTCACGTGCCCCTGGTCAACGCCGGAATTCAAAGTCAATGCCGGAAAAAGTTGATCCAGGTGGTGTTCAAACAACAGAAATTTGAATTTGGGTGGTCTTAGGCAACATATTTTTTTTTGGGTGCTTTTTGACAAAAACAAGAATTTGGCGGGTGGTTTTAGACAAAATTTCCTTTTTTATTTTTTTTAATAAAGTTTAAATTTTGAGATTTTCTTGGATATTCCCCCCCCCCCCCCCCCCCCCCCCCCCTCCAATAATGACCCTTGTATATTGAGATTTTCTTGTGTTGCAGTTGTACCCATTGGCCATTGCATCCCCTCTAAATTTGTCCATGCAAGCTATTATGGTTGCCACATGCTCACATGCTTTTGACCATAAGTGAAGACTGAGGAAGAGGAGGAAGGTTCATAGCCATAGGTTTTTTTTTTTTTTTTTTTTTTTTTTTTTTTTTTTTTTAATAACGTTGTCAATTTCCATCCAAAAAAAATGAGCAAACAAGACCATAGGGTCATCTTTGAATCTCCGGCATATGAGGTTATGTTTTAGCGTATTACTTTATTTCATGCCTCTAGGGATTCAAGGGTTAATATCCTAAAAGAAAAGGATGATCTATCAGAATGATAACACATCTATGTAGACATTCTGACATGGGGAAAATAGAGATGATTTCTCATACAGCATCCCCGACCACAGCTAATTTCTCAATGAACACAAATTTTTCCAATCAACATTTACATTTAGATCATGGTTCAATTAGAGAATGACATCTACATAAAATCATTAAATATGATAAAAACACAGACCTGCAAAGCAATTTTCAACAGCACATCACGGAGAGTTGGCCTCAGCATTATCAAACTCCACACAGCACTGAGACCTTGAGTAACCCGATCTCCATTGTGCAATTCTTTTTCATCTTTATCTCCAATCTCAGGTGAACACAAGCATTCCAATAATTTAAGGCTCGATTTGGGCAAATATGGAACTTCACTGAACAAACAACTCAAAGATTTGTCAGATGGTGGGAAAGAATCTCTCAGTGTTTCTGCCTGCATAGATATTCAACAACTTACCACAAAGAATATATGTCCAATGGAACGAAATTGACAAAATAGAGGATTGTATACCCACCACTTTTAGAAGAAAAGTTTCATATACAGAAGAAGCAGTTGTGGAAGAAAAAAAGTCACGCTCTTCTTCTGCCTCCCCATACAATCGATAGAGGACACGTAATGTCAACTCATGTCCCTAAAACATTGCGTGATTCAGTTAATGTAGTGCATATTTTTGGACAATCATATTTCAAAACAATCATAAGAAACTCAAACAAATATCATAGAAATTAACACAACATGACGTCAATAGCAGCAAATTAAATAATATACATCACCTCATGGTTTATGTAATCTGACAATATGTGTGTCTGTAGACATGTCCAAAGGTCAAGGTCCAATGAGAGCTGCAGAAGGAAGAAAGGGAAACTAGGTCAAAGCACAGAAAATGTCACATATGGTAGTGAAAACCAAAGGGACACCCGACTAAAAGCCGTAAAAATTCAAAACACAGCATCTTTATCTGCTTCATTCCAGCATCACTATTCTTCTCTCAGATTTTCTAATATTCGATATGGAGCTGCTTTTCTAATATTAACACATCACCCAAAAAAAAAATAACCATCCTCAAGGTAGCCAGAAGGATACACTTAAAGAGTTCATTTCAAAAGGCAGTACAATATTAATTTTAGCATCCAGGTCTATTAAGCAAATAAAAAAAGATAATGTTCTCACCAAACGTTAATGAGTAAATATACATAAAATTTGAGCTTTAACAAGTTAATTAATCCAGCCATATTCACAGAGGTAGAAATTATCAAAAGCCTAAGTCCACTAGAAAATAGTGATGCTGCACCGTAGTGAAAAACGCTTATGAGTTCTGACATAGAAAAAAGGAAAGTCAATCACACATCTTCAAAGGTGATAGGATTTTTTTGGTTTGGTAGAATTCTATTGGTTTACTCCTCTATCATACAGTATAAGTATGCAGTTTGGAAGGCAAAACAAGGGGAATAAAATAGTTTACTTTGCTTCTTTACTATATCAAAGTTAAGTTAGAAATGAATGACCTAAATTCCATACTAGGGAATATTCTGACATCTTAATGGGCTGTAATGCTGATGTTAACTTCTCTTTGGACTTTGTCTCAGAATCATGGCCTCATGAGGAGTTCCCTAATCATTCTGATGTATTGTGAAGCAGGAATCCTTCTATTCTTTTCCCTTGATATCTAGTACACTTTGGTCCCAAAACTCCCATTTTATTGTAATAAAAATTTCTCGTATAGAAAAGGCCCTAAATATTAGTTTTCATCTTCAAAAGTAAATGCTTTGTCTGGATAAGAAAACTTGATAAATTTTTTTTTAAAAAAAGTTTACTTTAAACTACGGCTTTGGGATTCTTTGTGAAGAATAAGAAACTTTAAAAACCAGGTATTTTAGAAAGCCATTATACAAATTTACACCCCAAAATCCTTTAGAATGACACCAAAAATTCCTCTTTTCCTGGACGGAAGTTCTCTCTTTATAAAACATCACTTCTTTATCTGAAATCATACCAGATCATGCACTAGTAAATGAAGTGATTTAACTTTTACAAGAAAAAGGATAATTTATCATGCAAGGACTTGAATGAAGGCTCTTGATAACGCAATCATTTGAAAGATCCTTTGGATATCAAATTTCCCTGTTCAATCAGCGTAAAGGGAAAAATATGATTCACCCAAGAGGAAAATTTTGAAACCTTACAGTTTGATAGTTCTTTGCTGTCTTTCATGTTGATAAATTATTTAAAAATAAAAAATAAAAAAATAAAAAAAAAAAAACGTGTTTGCACACTTTCTACTAATTGACTAATTCAAATCCGCAAATGAAATGTTTTATAATAATGTTTGCTGAGGAACAAACCCATCACTAAAAATAAGAAATACAAAAGCACCTTAATTGAAGGATAAGCATTAAAATTATAAAACATAATAATTACCTCAACTCCCAAATAAGAAAGTAAAGAGAATCGAAGCTGTGAACCTCCAGAGACAGCAACCTGCTTGTATGCTTCCACAATGCGCAAAAATACCAGTTTTTGAAGCTTATCCTTGTCCTCGCTAGAAAGGTCTATCACAGGTGCTGAGAGCTTAGGCAAGACAAACTGGTGAACTGGCCCAAGGGAACTAGCTGTAGAGGCCATCCCTATGTTTGCATCTGCTGCAGCAGCTTTAGAGCTAAGTTCCTCAGACTTCTCAGTTGACACTGATGGAAGTGATTCTATTTTAAAACTTTTCCCAACACTTGTAACTTGATCTTGGCTGCCATCATCCCGATCTGTGGAGGCCAACGATGAAGAAGCAACAGTGTCCAGGAATCCATCGCTATGAGCATTATCCAAGCCCGGAATGGCATTATCTGAAGGTCCCATATCTTGAAACTCACAGGTAACAGCTGACCCTTTGGGTACTTCAAAAAGATTACCAGAAGCAAAAGCACATGGCATATCTGAATCAACAAGCTCAGTTGAACTTTTTGACGTAGCACATCCCACAATGTTATCAGCAACATCCATAGCATGAGTTTCTTCTAGAAGCGGATGCTGTCAATTCAGGGTAGACACGAAACTCAAATAAACTAGAGAACAAATAATATATATTTCCTACAAACAAAAAAAAAAAAAAACAAACAAACTTATACCAAAAAAAAAAAAGTACACAGGAAAAATAGTTCTTTATAACATTAGTGAACAAAGAGCATATACTTGTGTAAAAAAAAGAAAGGAAAAGAGCATATATACAATCTGTAACAAAAATGCAGGTTTTAGGAATGGCTGTCTTGAGTCCTTGTGGAACAGAGTCCCAGACTACTTTCCCTTTGGACTACTTTCGATAAAAGATAATTTCATAGAACAAAACTACATCACGATAAAAGTTATAAGACTGCATACAAGATACAGAGGAATTTTGATTAAGTGGGAAAATAACCCAGGTGCAACCAACCACAAACAGGCTACAAACACAGCACAATCCCAGAACACCCCAATTCCACTAGTCATATAGCAATAAACACGGTATTGCCCTCAAAGCAAAGCATTACCTCCATGAACCCCATCACTTAGCCTGTCATTGCTCCAGCCATTTTTACCCTTTGGTACTTTTTCATAGTGGTTCTGCTGGAGTTATCTCCTAGTTTAAAGTATGATCAGGAAGCTAAATTTCCCTTTGGTACTTTTTCTTAGTGGTTCTGCTGGAGTTATCTCCTAGTTTAAAGTATGATCAGGAAGCTAAATTTCCCTTTGGTACTTTTTCATAGTGGTTCTGCTGGAGTTATCTCCTAGTTTAAAGTATGATCAGGAAGCTAAATTTCCAATAAATGTGACAAAGCATTACTTGTACACTGATCAAACTTTATATATATATATATATATATATACACTTCCTCCGTTTTTTTAATATTACACCACTTGCTTTTTAAGGAAGTTTCACAAATATTGCACCATTTTTATTTTAGGAAAAGAAATAGTTGTGTTCACACTATAATTACCTAATATACCCTTGCTTTTCAACACTTACATTTTATTTTGTGTACAATCACATGGACAACTTTGTATTTCTACCTTTCTCTCTCATCCTTTTTTCCACTACCAAAAATATTGTGTCAAACCCTTATGGTGCAATAATAAAAGAACGGAGGAAGTATATATATATATATATATATAGGGGCCTGCAACATCACATCTTTGAGACTAAAAAGATGCAACATGAAAAATATAGATGCTTGCCTCAATGTCAAGTGACACTGGTGGTTTGACATCAGCTGCTGCAGATATGAGCTCGGAACTGCTACAGTGAACAGCATTTGTCAAAAATGATGAAAGTTGGTCAAAGGGGGTATCAGTATCAACTTTATTGTAACGCAAACCAAAATTTGCTTGCAGTTCTTCATCTCCCTCAGCCTTTGGGCAAGTAGAAGGAAGGTTTCTCAAGTTCCATATAACCACTTCTGCAAGTAAGTCAGCAGAGATACCTGATATAAGTATCTCCAAAGATGCAGCAGCCTTTTCACCTTGAGCAACCAGGGCACCAAAAAGCCCAACAAGTTGCTGTACAGGCCCCAAATCATCTTCTTTCGATGCACTTGCCACCCCAGGTGAATCAGACTTAATTTCGACAGAAGAACGAAGATCACCTGACTTATCACTCAGCTCCTCTGATACACTGTGCATAGATCGGGCACGTTTTCCAGGTGTATCATCATCTTCATTCCTGTCACCAACTTCCAGGTCACTGGATCTTTTTCTACCCACCTTATTATGCACTGGATCATGGACTTCAAGTGACTGCTCCTCCTGTCAGATACCTCAGGATAAGTTGGTGCAAATTTGAACAAATTATCTAAGTTTTCTTATGTGTAAAACTGGTACATTCAAGCAAATGCTACATAAAGTTACTCATCTAAAAAAGAAAAATCTTATTCAGTTCAAATAATCCAAAAGTGAATACCTTAACAGCAACTAGCTCAGCCTTTTCCTCCTTCACATTTCCATTGTTACTGCACATGCTTTCAAGGGCTTTTTCTGCCATATGCCCAGCATTCATTTCCTTCAAAGCACCAACTAATCGATCCCGCCACTGATGAAATCAATGATATCATGAGCTAAAAGAGCATAATGTTTAAATAGAATAATTCTCATTATTTGTCCCGCTGCAACTTGAATGTCCGATTGGTAAAAATTACAACATTAAATAAGTCAACAACTCGGCAAGTTATAGCAAACAATCTCCGATGTCCTATGAAGGAATACTCATTTATCACATCACAAAATGTAGGCAGAATGATTAAATGATGCAGCAAACTTTGAAAGCCTAATGGAACTAGTGGATGCCTCCTCATAAGAGTCAAAATAAATATGCAGCTACAAACTGACTCTCCTAAAGCTCAAAGACTCTAATCCATCAGCATCCTCAAGTCTACCAAATCAAAGGAGACACACTCTATCCAAGTATATTCAGACCTAGGGTGGAGCATGGCAAGGTCATAATTATAAATTTAGGCTCCGTGAAAAAAATAGCAGAGTTTATGTCTGTTGGGGGGGGGGGGGGGGGGGGGTGGGTGCGTGCATGTGTGTGTGTGTGTGTGTTTGAGAGAGAGAGAGAGAATTCTGGTAGTCACATCAATTAAATTGACTTCATCTAAAAGGGTCATGTTCGGGTTAATTTCATTTCGTGTCGACTTCGTGTTTTCTCTCAGTAACTTTGTGTTCGTGTTGTGCCGGTTTCGGTCGTGTCGTGTGAAATATTGCAGCTCTAGAAAAAAGGGATCAAATCCATGGTCAGGAAGCATCAGGTTGATTTTCTGAAGCGTATGACAATGGATGGTGCAAGAATGATTGCAGTGACTAGATCAATGAAAGTGATAGTTAACATAAAGGCAAGGCCCACAATCCCAATCAGCTTTAATGAATATTAAATGCACAAAAAGGGTCAGTTTAGCCTGCAACTTATAGTGATACGTTATGTTAAGCACTGCAAATTAAGACCAGACTGAAATTACTGACTCAACATGGGGCCAAATGATTGCAATGCAAAGCCAGAATCCCACGGAATGAATTCATGAAACGTGTATCTTTGTATCCCAATTCTGAGATTACTCTAGTGGGAACAGACATCGGATGAGAGCTTGATTTACAGAAACAAAGTAATGTGGCGCAATTTGCAAAGAAAGGAATCTGCTGTGAGCCAGTGAATGCATTAGAAACTTTTTTACACTTAATTTCTATGATGTTCTTTCATTCAGCTCTCTTAATAGCTACTCCCTTTATCCCTATTTTTTTGCCCCATTTGACCATACACCGTCTTCAAGACGCATCTTAAAACGTCTATATCTTCATTTCCATAAACGTAAAAATTATACAAATTTGATATTAATAAAATGTACAATGCGACGAATCTAACAAGACAACTCAGGATTATGTAATCTTGCATAGATTAACGGTAATATATGATCAAAAGTTTTAAAGTTTGACCCAAAAAATGGCTATGGGGCAAAAATAAAGGGACAGAGGGAGTATGTACCAAGATATCAACAATGTGCAAACAAGGGCAAAAAGCCAAACAAAAAAAAAAAAAAATCCCCCCAAGTCTTAATGCTCAGAAGACATGCAACAGAAGGATAGTCTAGTTTTGGAGCAAGGAAGAGAAAAACTGCAGACCTACCTTACAGTCTTTAATTTACTTAACATTAAGAAATATGGGAGAAGAGGGACCAGACCAACAGCGCTGACAGCAGTTGGTGCCTCCATGTGGCATACGGTATAAGAAAATATTGATGATGCGTTATTGAGTGATTATGAATCGGTCTGGCGCTTCATCATTCAAGACCATGAGGAAAGCGTGATCCAGCTGTATTATGCAGCTTTGTGGGAAATGTAGTGGCAAGATAATTTGAGAAAACAAGATAGCATTTAGATTATACATCTTGGTAAATTGAAAGTAAATTGGAGCAAAAGCTCAAAAAGGGAGAGGAACCGGAAGAGGTAAAAAAATTTAACCAAGACATTTGTCATAAAGTAACAAAGATCTAGGTCCAGGGAAACATGTTAAGACAAAAGGTCATAAAGTGACCAGCTGGTTTTCACCCAATTGGTGGTGTGAGCCGTGTGACATAATTAGTAACCCCTTTAAATTAATTCCAGCAACTACTCTAAAGTTTTACAAGTAGCTTCATTAAGCATGTAGGTAGCTCTATCCCTCCATCAGTAACCCCATACATAATTACATACATTGTCAGTAATCTCATAATGGTTAGTAAGTCCATATATGGGATTATTGACAACCTCATTTAAAATTTTTCACACCGTCAACTAATGGGGTAGCTCATCTCATATAAGAAATTGTGGAAAGGTGACTAACAATTTGCGCAATTGAAACCTCATCATCTCAATTCTCATTATAGTGGTGGTTGCAAAATGACCAAATGATCTTATTAACTTAGTTGAGGGACCTTTAAATTAACGGGGAGCTCGGTCAGAGTTTTTGGAATGGATTCAAATTGAGCTAGAATACGTTCCATTGTTTGGTTGAACTTTCTTGCCTTAGAATCTCATACCATAAAATTTCTAACTCTTCCCCAACTACCAAGAATCACATACCCACCATCCCCCTAAGATTATGACTCTATTCCACTCTGGATACAAACCCTAGCCATCACTAGAAAGGCATCACCAAACGTTTCTTCTTCGTCTGACGCTATTAGTTTTTTTTTTCTTTTCTAATTATGGCGCAAATTAGGTGCAAAATTCAGGCAAAGAGATGCTATAGCCTTTATGAATAGAATAGTTAGCGTTTTATTCAATCTTCAAAAAATTTTACATTCTTCTACTCTTTGTAATTTTTGTAGGCTTTTTTTTCTTCACTTGCTATAATCTTGTTTTTTTTAGAGAAAACCTGCAATATTGGTTTTGTACAAAGTTGACTCTTTTCCTTCTCAAGATAAAATAAGAGTGCAGGAGCTTTAAGGAGATAATGGCATCCAATAACTGGTAATTCCTTTATAATGTCATCGCTGTCAAGAAGTTAGGACTTCGGAGGAACTAACATCACAAAAAGGGAATGGCTAAAATCCATACCTAGGGTTTGTTTAACAAAGTTTTAATTTTTAAACCCATACCTCAAAGGCTCAACCTACGGGGAAGGTGGGTATGGCTCATACCAAATGCACCAAATTATCAGATATCAAATAAAGTAACAATATTCACTCCCAAACATAACCAAACAATTAAACCCATACCACCTCAGCTTCATTTGCAATTCCAAACTCATACCAAAAAAACAAACTTTCTCTTATACACATGCAAGTCATTCACTGCTATGCCAGTTTCAAGCATCTATACCTGACACAAAATAGAATATCTAATCCCAATCCAGTGAGGCCACTTTCAATAAGAAAATTAATAACAGGTCAAGTACGACTAGAAAGTGTCACATACCTAAAGATAAAGATAGCAGATGACCAAAGAAAGTTGATTTATGAAAGAAAAAAATGAGTAAATATACAAAGGGTCAAAATTATGACTCTTAATTATCTAATGTGTATTGTTCAAATTAAGTAGACAGTCATCTTACAGTTACTTAAACAACCAAGGTAAATCTATCAACCCTATCATCAAATTAAGTAGACAGTCTTCATACAACTATCCTAACAACCAAGGTAATCAGAACTTTATTAATTTACATAAGAAACAGCGCAAAAAAGGAAGATGAAAGATCATACCGGTGTAGCACTAGGGTGTGCACACTTCAAGCAAGAGAGATATGCATTCTTTAAAGCATTTTGTACTCCATAAGCATGCAACCCCTTGATAACAGAATTTGAAGGATCCAGACCCAGAAGGACTGGAAGAATTCGTCCATAGAAGGATGGCCTCTTCACAGCAATGGCTGACAAACTGGTAAAGAATATATAATAAGTAAGACCAAACAGTCAGAAAAAAATCATGAGGATCCCAAGATAATGAAAGGAAGAAAACTTGGGACACAGATCTAAATATTTGGACTATGACATCAATCAGAAGGTCATGGTCTCATGGTCTTAAAAAAGGCTTTTGCAATAGGAACTGATAGTATGTTTTCCTTTTTGTCCTAAGAGGATCTATTTTCTGGTGACTATGACATCACTTATCTTTCTAACAATTCAAAGACAGTGATATCATTTGATAGGCTGAAACACTTGCGATTACACACACAAACACACCACCACCACCAACAACAACAACAAAAGATGTGTGTAACACTAACACAGCACTTGAACATTTGCCACAATCTCCCCCGCAACAATAAATGTAAAGCCTTGCATTACAGTTTACAGATATAATTCATTACTACATGAATGGGAAGTTCCCATCATTGTTGTGCTTCCTGCAAGTAAACTTAAAATAGAATAAAAGACTACTGACCCAAGGCAATTGACAAAGGATCTAACATCTAAAGATGATGGTAAAATGTTCCACAGCCATGTTACTGCAGTCGTCAATCACCACAGCGTTTCTCCAGAAAAATTAAAGTCACCCCATTATCATTCACAAAATTGAAGTATTTCCTGCAGTTGACTCTGGGGAGAAAAAGGCATCACTATTACTTTGAAGAGTAAAGCAAGTTCAGGGCAGGAACATTTGCTAATAGGAGTTGTAAAAGGCTTAAAGCAAAATACAACACCAAAATAATGCCTTCTTCTTGTGCTTAGATACAGTTATACTTAAACAAACAATTAAAAAGTCATTGCATTGACAGCTGTTCCTGTTGGACTAAAAATCCAAAGATTTGTGAATGTTAAAAAATCTCATCTAGTAATACCCAGGTTTTATTCAAAAACAGAAGGCCGTTTAACAAAGTATTTAATAGGTGTATCAGGGTAATTGAGTCCACACTTAGTAAATGACAGCATTAGAAATCAAATAAATTAGTTACTATTGTCATTTAAGTAAAAACTGATAAAATAAGAATATTGGAAATCAGAGTTTAGGGGGAGTGTATGAAAAAGCACACCTCAAGAGCGCCTAGTTGCTAGATGATTGGGGTAGAGCGCTTTGTGATCTAGATGAGATGAATTCAAAGAAGTGCATGAGGTGCACCAGAAAGCGCACCATTCAGATGCAACCAACTACCAAAGGCGCACATCAGTCGAAGCTGAAGCAGCTAGTTTTGAAAGCAAGGTAAGGCCCCCCCTCGCAACTCGAAATATATTTAATTTTTAAATTTAGTGCAAATCACTCTATTGAGGCAGATCAATGGAGACCTAAGGCGCGACTAGGTGCAGCAAGACTTATATGGCCTTATCGCACCTAGAGCTTTCTTGTACATCGATTTAGTCAATAATGCCATTTCTTTTTCATATATGTATTCAAATAAAAGCACGGCTCGGGTATAAAACTTGAATTACTAAACTTCAAGACCAAAATAGAAAACACCAAGCATTACTTGGGTATTAGCTAGGGAGCTACTAAACTTCTAGACTAGCAACCTTACATCATTTTCCAAGCAAAAAAGGAACTCATTAGAGAGGTATAGCTTACCAATTAATGAGCACAACCACCATGGAGGTGCTGAGCGATTTCACGATGGGGAGGCGAAGCTGATCAAGCAATAATCTCAAACTTTGACTGGCTTCAATTGACAGATCCCCAAGCTTCAGAAGAGGATGCCCTCTACGAACACATGAGATACTGAACCCTGCTTCCTTACCTACAGCTAAAATCAGACCCTTAATAACAATATCAACAAGAAACATTAAGTACATACTAATTGCTAGATTGATTTATGATCCATACCATTACCATCACTAATAAGATGAGATGGAAGCTCAGTACCACCATTGGGGTCTGGAGTATAAATAAGAATGATGGCTGCAACAAATTTCAGAGCCAACAATCGTTTTCCATCACTTCCAGACTGAAATACAGGCATTCATCAGTACATAAAAAATGAATGATTTTTTTTTTTTTCTTCTAATAAGAGCACTGAGAACTTATTTTTAAAAAATTATATACAATTGAAAAAAACACTGAAGAACTTTATGCAAGGTAACATGCCTCAAAAGCTATTGAACATATCTTTTCCTTCAACTTCAGCATCCACTCCCACGCTGACTCAAGAGAATCATCCAACTTGCTTGCATTTAGCCCCTACACTTGCCAGAATAAGATGAGATGAGAACATTCTTGAAGCAAATTGATTAGAAGATGAAAAATATTTGTAAGGAAAATGGTACGAACCATCCAGGGATAAGTTTAAGCTAATTGACATCATATTAAATTGGAATCACATTAAATTCATGCCCTCCTACACAGGCATTGATAATTCATAGTCCCTCTGTTTTTTTTTTTTTTTTTTTTTTTTTTCTTTAAATCTTCCTACTTAATGTTCATATAAAATGTAGTAAGTGGAAGGTGAGTCCCTTTTTTTTACTTTTTAGGTAGGAGATAAAAAGTTGTTTAGGTATTGTTATATAATTTAATATGGACCAAGTGATGGGGAAAGGAGTGATAGAAGTGGAAATTATCTTTAATATAAAAAAATAAAAATAAAGCAAAAGTAGGAAGATGAAAAAAAAAAAAAAGAACATATCAAAAATAAAAAGTGGGAAGATTTTTTTTTAAAAAGAAAGAAAGAAGAACAAAGGGAGTACTAAAAACCAACCTAAAATTTGGAATGCTATATCATCACTCTCCTAAGAAAGCTTTGCAATTGCATATTTGTTCCCTTTAATGAAAGGAGCAAAAAAAATAGAATTTGATGAAATAACAATCATTAAAAGGGGGGGGGGGGGTGAATAAAGTGCAGGACAATCGGAAAACCTTATACTAGGAAGATTTTACAAACACAAATTTCTAAGTAGTCATCTGAAAGACAACCCCAGGCTTGAACTCTTACAAATCTATGAGCCAAGCCAGTTCAGCATGCTCAAAGCCTCAAGCGCATTTTGGCTCACATAGCTAAATGCATCATCTGAAAGACAATCCCAGGCTTGAACTCTTACAAATCTATGAGCCAAGCCAGTTCAGCGTGCTCAAAGCCTCAAGCACATTTTGGCTCACATACCTAAATGCAGCATATTAAGCTATAAAAAGTCTCAAGCTCACTCACATTCTCAGCAGTGACATGGGAAACCTCAAGGCATCACCTCTACACGGTTAGCAGAATCAGCCATAACTGGGTCAAACTAACAACCCCCCCCCCCCTCCTATCTGGGTCACTATATTCCCACCAACATGATGTTAAAATCCTACACAATTACAGATTCAACTTTTCAGCAAACAAATTTAATGGATCATATGTCACATGAGATTACCTGTAATGCTATTTTCTCCATGGTACAGCAAAATATATTAGTGCCAGATGTAATAGCTTGCCGGGCCACTGCTGGAGTATCATCATCAACAACAGTCAACAGTGCAGTTGTAATTTCAGGTAAAACCTCCAAATGCCTCAACCCAATTTCACCAATTACCCTAGAATCCAGATGAAAACATCAGATAGATTGATATTTCTAGAAAGAAGAGAGTGAAAATCTAGACAAAATGGAAGGTAAAAGAAAATACAATCTTAGAAAAGGGAAAGTGCTAAGACCTTTAATGCCCAATCTAAGAAAATAAAAAGGACTTAAAGCCTTTCTTTTTTCCAAAAAAGCAACAAAATCAGAATCTGCTTCAAGCTCACTAACCTTAGCAAACGCAAAAGAGTTTAACGACAGATGCATGAATGACCCCCTCAAAAAATCAGGAATATGCAAAGAGAAGACGAATACAAATGGTAAGGGGGGTGTGTGAAATTGGAAGCAGCAGTTTACAAGTCCACTAGTGAAGAACAGACATGGGCCTGTCATCTAAGGTCATTCCAGAAATTAGTTTAAGGAGACAAGGAAATCGAGGGATTTTGTATCAGCAGGAATCAGTCAAAGTCTTAATAATGAGAACATTGCATTTTTAAATAGTTCTCCCATAACTCTTCCTAGTTTGGCTTCAGCCCATCAAAAAAAGCATCTCACCCCCTTGGAGACCACATAGACTTTAATCACCTTGTGCAAAGAAAATACCATTTAACAGAAACTGCTAAAGCTACCTTACACACTCAGGAGATGTTTCTAAACACTGTAATAAAACCCAATTCACCTTATCCCTTAGGAATAAAATTAAACAATCTGCCACAAGGAAGCTCCTAGTCTTCTTTAAAATTACAAGCAATCCTACACAAATCATAAGCAAGAATTATGAAGACCTTTCTTACATTAAAGAGAATCATGCCTCAACACCTCATCAACTAGTATAAGAACCCTCCTTAGAAATCAATCAAACAATCAAAGCCTTAATCCCATAAGTGGGGTCAGCTAAAATGAACCAAAAGTGATTATTCCATGTAGTCATCGACAAAAATCTTCCTCCATCCCTTACGACCCAATGCCTCATCCTCATGCAAATCCAAATACATCATATCCTTCCTAACTCCTTCCAACCAAGACATCTTTGGTCTCCCTCTCCCTCGTTTAATCCCTCTATGGTCCAACTCTTTGTATCGTCCGTCTTACATAACGTAGACGAATTTCCCTTAATTTGTGTGCAATGCCTGCCACACCTACTTTCTTCCAAACAACCTCATTTCTAATTCTATCTTTTAGAGTATTCCTGCACATCCACTAAAATGCGCATTTTTGTAACCTCCATCTTTTATCTTAGGAGCGCAACATCCGGTAACATAGAGCAACACTGGTCTTATGGCAATCCCGTAGAATTTCCCTTCAGCTATAAGAGAATGCTTTGGTCACATAACACTCCCTTGGCTGCTCTCCATTTAAGCCACCCCAACTTAATCCTATAAGTCACGTCTTAATCAATGTCACCATATTTTTGAATGATCGACCCAAGATATTTAAAACATTCACTCATGGTCAAAAACTTTCCATCCAAACACACCACATCATCGCTTGTCCCCCTCTGAGTACCAAAGCGGCATACCAAATATTCGGTCTTACTTTGATTTAGCTTAAATCTTCTAGATTCCAACCTTTGCCTCCATTGCTCCAATTTGGCAGTAACCTCTTAGGAAATACAGCATTAATTAAGAAAGAGATTCCTATGTGGAGAAGGACAACCTGCATCCTGGAAATTAAATTCACAGCACGGCACAAGTAGCTTGACAAGTGAATCAGCCAACCTTACCAAACTCCAGTTTAATTCTTTTAAACAAACAAGTTGATCTCGAGGCCAACAATTCTCACAATAAACCTTAGAATAAAAGAAGATTGATTGATAGAGTAGAAATTTTAGCCTACTTTCATTATAATCATTATCACTTCTATTGTTACATAGAATCCCAATAATATTCAGTGTTCTTGTGACACCTTGTCAGCAAAACATTGGATTTTGTTTCTAACATTCAGAAGTTAGGATCCTTAATTCCTGTAGCTCACACATATATTATCATAGTAAGTAAACTAATATGAAAGTAAGGATTCACCATAAGCGTCACATTCCCAACTCTTCAAAATTAAGGATCCACCACAATGTCACCATATGCCCAATACAGTAACTCTATTCTTACATTCTTCTTTCAGGAACTTAATTCAAGAGGGGGTGCGTTGAGAAGCCCAATTTATAATTTTCAAATTTAGAAATTACGAAAACTTTTTCTGGACATTCTAAAACAATATATGTAACTACTTCGTATTATTTGAAAAAATGAACAAAAAGATTGATATTCTACTATAACAACTGTATCATTAGGGAAGAAAAAATGATACTTCAATCTTCTACCATAAATCGATGTACCAATCTTAAACCCATTTTAGGTAATCCCTAAGGTTTTATCATCAAACTATCCTCTTGATTGTCCAAAATGAAAAATCGCAAACACCTCCTCTTGAGACTATCCCTAGACCCTAGTAGCTTTGAAATCAATCATTGAATTCTCAATACTGAATTGTCCTTCCACAAACATTCTTCTTAAGAACTACAGAATGTTACCAATAATTCTTGTTATATCAATGTTCCAACAAACTCCTAAACCAAACAACAAACAATGTAAAAACGGCTAGTACAAGTATTAAACTTTACAATCATCAATCATCAATCATCCTATACAACTCTAATGCACAAAAAATCAAAACCCCACAAACTAAAAATATCGAATTCCGTTTAATCAGTAAAAACACAATCAAATTGATAACCCACAACGATAAAATTCAAAAGCGAATCCGTAAAAATAAGTTTTAATCAGTAAAAATGAAACCCAGAGAAGATTCCTACTCGGTAACACATTTACGAACAGGGCTAAAACAATCCGAAAGAAGCCTCAACAAAGAAGGGAGGAAATCAGAGAAAGAAACAGTAGTATCATCTTCTAAGCCCAACAATTCCTGCTTAAGTTGATGCAAGTTTTCGAGCTTTGAAGGGGTATCAGCAGCAAAGGTAATTGCATCAATGAGACTCTGAATTCTTTCTTCAGAACCAGCCGCCATTAATCCCACCATTATTCTTTCTTCTTCTTGGTTGATTAATTTTGTGAATTTTGCAATTGCTTCATAGCAAGATCTTGCTGTATGTTTTGGGGATAGTTAATGGGGGTCGAGCGGGAGAACAAGGGGTTGGACGTTAGAGACTGAGAAAGAGAAATTGTTAGGGACAACTTTCCTAATTAGCTTCATATGAACAAGCTATGAATTTTATTTTTTTTTTTTTTTTTTTTTTTTTTTTTTTGACAGATATGAAAATTATTTTTGATAACCTTCTATTTTTAAATGTTCTAGTGAATGGTCAATCATAACATTAATAATGAATTTTAATTATATTTTTTATTATAGTTAACTCTGTTCACTCCACTTTTAAAAAAAATAGTACTAGGTAAAATGATTTCAATTCAGTAAAAAAATAATTTAATTCAGTAAAAATAAATTTAGTTCAATAAAAATAATTTAAGTTTGGTAAAAAAATAATTTCAATTCAGTAAAAATCAACAAACTTAGAGAAGAAATATAAAAGAAAATCAGTAAAAATATTTTTTTTAAGGAATCGGTAGAGCCATATTATTAAGAACAATCGAGTTCCGCCAAAGTCAAAGCGCTTTGGGGAAAAGAGTTAAGTCTTGCATACTCCAAAGAATCACCCATATCCCACCTTCCTGCAAGATGAGCTACCGTGTTACAAGATCGTTTAACATGAGTAACAATACAACTATCAAACCAAGCTCTATCGATTCTAATTTCGTCATAAATAACAAAGATTGGAGAGAAGCCTCCAATATCCGAATTCATCTGCTTGACCACATTTACAGAATCACATTCCGCCCAAATGTTTTTGTAGCCTAACCTTCGTGCGATCCTTAAAGCATATAGTACTCAGTACTGCCATTGCCTCTACAAACTCCGGATGAGAACCCCATGCCCTTTTAGTTACAGTACATACTAGCTTACCCTCTGCATCACGCCCCACCACTCCAAGACCAGCATTTCCAGAATTGGGAACATGAGCATCAGAATTAAATTTCACACAACCTGAAGGAGGAGGGTGCTAGGCATCAAAACTTGTAATGCGTAACTGACTTGCAGCACGTAGGAAGACCTTACAGGCGTAGGAATTATGCTCTTGAACCAATCTGCAAAAACCCGCTGCTAACATGACAAAATTAGGCCTCTCATTGTCAAAGATTAGCAAGTTTCTACACCTCCACGCAACCCACATCAAAACAGCCATTGAGCATGCCACGTCTGCTGTATATTTGCTAACAATCCACTCCCAACGCGAGGCAAAAGTATCACACGGAGCACCAACTACATTGGTTTGAAGCTCGCTCTTATCCTATATGTCTCGTGCAGCTTCACACTCAAATAGAGCGTGTATGATCGTCTCCTCCATCGCACTACATATTTGGCATGAGCTTTCATTAACAATGTGATGATAACGGAGCCTATCTTTTACAGCCAAGTTACCTTTCACTACACTCTAGATAAAATGTTGTAGTTTAGCACGGCCACGCAACTTCCAATATTGAGTCCCACACATCTTCATTTAAGTTTCCAGTATAGCCCTCGAAACTACCCAATTTGGCAAGCCAATAACCTGATCTAACCGCATAAATCCCATGTTTTGTCCAGCCCCAAAACCTCGTATCAGATTGAGGTACAAAAGGAAACGGTGTTTCCAGGATAGCAGCGCACCAATCAGCCCCGACAATATCAGTGATCTTCAAGGCATCCCACCCACTCCAATCATCATACATCAGCGCACATACCTTCACATTACCCCCCCATTCTCACCTATGGGAATTTTGCATGGTCTTCCATCTACAAACAGCCAAGTATCCTCCCAAATGTCAGTCTTCGACCCATTTCCTACCCTCCAAGCTAAACCATCACGCAATAAGCCTTTTGCCCCCCACATGCTTCGCCATGAAAAGCTAGGGTCAAACCCCTTGTTTGCTTCAATAACTGATGAATTTTTAAAATATTTTGCTTTCATGATTTTATGGAGCAAAGACGACTCATTCGTATGTAACCGCCATAGATGCTTTGCAAGGAGGGCTTGATTAAAGCATTTAAGGTCCCGAAAGTTCATGCCACCCCTAGCTTTTGGAAGACACAATTTATCCCAATTTTGCCAATGTAGTTTCCTCTCATTCTCCCTAGAACCCCACCAAAATTTGCATAATAGCGAGTGTATTTCCTCAATAAGACCATCCGGCATCTTTAAAATGCTCATCATGTAAGTGGGAATAGCCTGAGCCACTGCCTTTATAAGAACTTCCTTACCTGGTCTTGACATCAATCTTTCTTTCCAACCATTCACCTTTTTCCAAATTCTTTCCTTCAAGCAGGCAAAAATTACTTTTTTAGATTTACCAATCATCGTCGGCAAACCCAAATGTTTTTCATGCTTCTCAACCTCTCTCACACCCAATGTCTCAATAATCAAATTCCTCCTTTCTACTAACACACATTTGCTAAAAGCGACCTCCGTCTTATCTAGATTAACTTTCTGACCAGACGCCCTTTCATACATACTAATAATTTCAGCAATTTTTTAAGTGGAGCTTTTGCAAACAAAATGTTGTCATCAGCAAAAAAAAATAAATGAGAGACACTCGGGGCCGAACGACAAATTTTAACCTCACTAATTTTCTTCTCTCTGGAAGCCTTCGAAATCAACCCTGAAAAAGCATCGGCACTGAAGAGAATATTTCAAGCATTACCCCTAGCTTGAACCCCATTGTGATCATACACTTAAGTACGGTGGCGTCCAAAGGGAAAGAAGCTAGAGCAAAAGAGTCGCCAACAAGTTTTAGGAACTTGTAAACCGTTCACAGAGTGAAGGTTACACCCCTTAACGATCCAAGAGATCGTCAACTCCAATAGGTCTGGAACCATGACTGGTAGTTCGGGGATGAAGGTACAAATCCAACCTAAAAGAGATTGAACCTGCCCTAATAATAGCTAGGCCTCTACTTTATTCTGATCTTATTCATGTGCGCTTTCTGACTAACATGCAATCATTAGGTTTAACCCTAAACTTGTTTAATCTATGTTGGTTGAATTTAATGCACAAATAAATCTATTATTGGCAATCACTTGAATTATAATCATATTAACCCTAAACAAGATTATTAATTATCTTATTAAGCGTGATTACAAGTACTAATTCCTTTAAACATGCATAAAAGGTGTGATCAAGCAATAACAATAAATATCAAGCAACATAATAATAATCATCATAAATTAAAACAATTATAATAATCATAATAATAATATTTAAAATAATCATAATCATGTTTAAGCATAATATTAATAGCAAGATCCTAGGTATGATACTAACAAGATTAATAACAAGCCCTAGCATGTCACTAAACATAAAGATCAAAGTTTTAGCCCTAACATGAATATTAGGAAAAGAATAGGAAGCATCGCAGGAAACACAATTGTCATATTTGATATTATAAATTACCCTAAAAATAATACTAGGAAGATCAAAACACCCTAACATGACGCTAGGAATCAAAATAACAACCTAGACATGATTTCTATATCAAAATATCAATTAATCAATTAAAGCACTTACTTGGATGCCTCGTATCTCTTTCTAATAACAAAATACACGCGTTAGTAACTTCAAGGAATAAAATAAACAACAATTAAATTAGATAATTGAAATAGAGATTTGGGACCAAGCCCTCAGAAATTAAAACCTTTCACGTCTAGGGCGAATGTAACTTCGAACTTGGCTAGGTGTGTCTAGTGCTAATGTATGAGGAATTGTGTTTGTAAAAAGGGTTGGTTAGAAAGAGAGAGAATCAAGAAATTCTTGATAAGAGTTGATGATTGAAAAAGGGGAGATATGACCTCTATTTATAGAGAAAAAAGAGAGTCAAAGAATAAGAAAAGAATCTGAATTTGAATCGAAATAAAACTCGATGGACATCAGTTTTTTCGGATTTTGTTTTTATCATATCTTTTGATCCAAAAATCCAAATAAGGCATATAATATGTCGTTGGAAAGATATTGAAGTCTACTTTCCAAAACAATTAGAATCAGATTAAAATATTTTGTAGATAAAAAGATATGGCCGAAATAGTGGAAGGGTGTTAGTTTTGGATAAAGTTTCATATTCCATTCATATCTTTTTCGTTATAACTCGGATTTAATATTATAATATATCATTGGAAAGATAATTTCAAAATTTATCCAAACATATAAAATTTGGATAAAGATTAGGAGGCACGAAAATAAAATCTGACTGTCTTTGAACATCTTTAAATTCGAATAGAATTAGGATTTAAGAAAAAGGAAAGTTTTAAAAAAGGAAAGTTTTTATTTAACTCAAATTCTTTAATCTTATCTTTTCAAAAAGGATAATTAAGATCTTTTAGAAACTTATAGAAGCTTCTAATTAATCCTAATTAGTTTAGGAATAGGATTATACTTTTGGACCCTCCACATGATCATTGGGTCGTAGGTAAGATCCGGTTCGAGCCCAGTTTAGTATTTTGGCCATAACTTCCTCATTATTCATCGGAATTGGGCTTATAATGTATCGTTGGAAAGGTCTTTTCAAGCTCCATCCAACTACACCATTATTAGACCCATATCATGGACCAAACTAAACTGGAATGCATGTTTTTCAAAAATAGGGTAAGAAAAAAAATATTTTCAAAAACAGAAAGAAGAGATATTTTAATAAAAACATCATCACTAGACTTTTCACACTTTCGCTTTGTTTGATAATCAAATGACGTGAAAGGTTCATCACTGGGTTTGGTTTTGGGGAGACACATTTGGGTGTCTACAGGCACATAACCAAAAAAAGATACGGAGAAATAGGATCACCCTGTCTGAGTCCACGAGTAGGACACACATTCCCTGAGATATCCCCATTCACCTTGAAAGAGAAAGAGACACTAGAAATACACTTCATGACCCTGGTAATCCAACCAGCACAGAAACCCATTTTTTCCATCATTTTCTCCAAAAAAAACCCACTCAAACCCTGTCATATGCCTTACTCATATCCAATTTCAGAGCTACAGACCCATGTCTACCTTCACCACGCCTTTTCATATAATGAAAGGTTTCAAAAGCAATTAAGGCATTATCGGTAATCAACCTACCTGGAACAAAAGCACTTTGATTTACAGAAATAATATCATTCAAAATGGGTTTCAACTTATTCACCAGAGTTTTTGATATTGTTTTGTAAATCACATTGCAGCAACTAATCGGTCTATACTCAGTCAAAAATTTCGGATCATTGCATTTTGGGATAAGTACAATACAAGTCCGATTAATTTCAGAAATATCAACAGAACCACGCCA